TTGAGTTCAGTGCTGAGAAACTGAGCTTCACAGTTCCGATTTGCTTATCACATTTCAGATTATTCCATAGTGCAGTGTTGAGGAAGATGGAAGTCATGCTTAAGATTGGTTGGCTCCGTGCTCTCACACTCACACCTGCACACATGTATCTGTGCCTTTCACTCTCTGTGACAGGAATGATTGCTGAGTCTGGGACTGGTGACATTTCCAAGTGGCTTCCTTCCTCTTTGACCTGTCTGATAGATCCTGCAAAATGGATGCTTTTGGGCAAACCTTACCAATAAAAACTTGCATGTGGTGACCTACCTCAACCCATCTGATTTTGCAAAGCAATCAGATTTGGCTTGGTATAGGTGTGTAGTTTCCCCTATGCTGCCTGGGGAATTCTGGGAACTATAGTCCAGAAAGTACAAATCTGAACATATTTATTTGTTAACACTTGGATGGGAGACCACCAGGGAATACTGGATGCTCTTTGGCAGAAGAGGCTGTAGCTCAGTGGTAAAGGGTATACCTTGCATGCAGAAGGATCCTAGTTTCTTCTTTTAATTTATATCTGATTTTTCTCCCTTGAAGGTCCCAAAGTGACTTATAATATAAATTAGCAAAACAGATCCAGCTAAAAACTCAGCATATTACAATGCTAAAGAATATTAAATAATCACATTAATGCAAATACTGAAAAGTGCAGAAAAATGCAAGAATAACAACAGTGTCCATGATTGAAAGGTCCTGATCAGTGGCCAGACGCATGTCTAAATATTAATTGATTGATTGATTGATTGATTGATTTATATTCTAAACCACCCATCTGACCAATGGTCACTCTACTTGGTGTACAGCTGCATCCCATATAAACATGTAAACAAATAAACATGTAATTCAACAAACACAACTAAAATTTAAAATTAAATAAAAATGGCTTTGTCTGCTGGTAAAAAGGGACCAAACTTAGCTTTGGAAAGGGATCCCACCATCTAAGAGCAACCCCTGAAAAGGTCCTTTCTTGTGTCCTCATTACATTTGATGTTCAATTCCTGGCATCTTTGGATAGAATTAGGAAAGATTCCTGCCTGAAACCATGGTGAATCTTTTGCCAATCAGTATTGATGGTTCTGGGTTGCATGGACCATCTGATGGACCATCAGACCCACAGTACATGGCAGCTTATGTCCCTGTTCTAGCAGTAGAAATAAAGGGTGTCTGTTAAAGAGTGTGGAATTGTAAAAGAGAGAAATAAGATACATATTTTCTGGTGTGTTGAAATGCTTTCAGATGGAGGATTAATCACTATTAACGCAAGGAACATCTGGGGACCTGACCTCCCTTTACTGAAACATAATCCAGCAGAAAGACAGCTTTCTTTAATTTCTTCTCCCTCCACGTCTGACTCTTTGTGGGTTTTATATGCCCCATAATGCCATAAGATACGCTTCCAGCTGAGCCAGAACACTTCCTACATTTACCTCCTTGGATGTCCTTAAACCAGGCAGGTGTTGGTTCCAGTTTCTCTTCAGCTTTGGACCCATCTGTATGGCCAGCTTTTTATCTGTAACATGGGGATCATAAGAATGACCTTATCCTACAGGAGTCTTGTAAGGATCATATACAGTGGTGCCCTGCTTGATGATTACCTCGTTGTGTGACGAATCCGCTATACGATGAGGTTTTTGCGATTGCTGTTGCGATCGCAAAACGATGTGTCTATGGGAGAAATCCACTTTATGATGATCGGTTCTTTGCTTCAGGAACTGATTTTTCGCTTAACGGCGATCAAAACAGCTGATCGTCGGGTTTCCAAAATGGCCGCCCGCTGTGCAAAATGGCTCCCTGCTGTGTTAGGGATGGATTCTTCGCTCTACAGGGAGCAGAAAATGGCCGCCCTATGGAGGATCTTCGCTTTACGATGAGGTATTTCGCCCATTAGAACGTGTTAACCGATTTCTAATGCATTCTAATGGGCTTTTTACTTTCGCTTGACGACGATTTCGCTCTACAGCGATTTCGCTGGAACGGATTAACGTTGTCAAGCGAGGCACCACTGTACAGAGTCAGTCTGAGGCGATGGATATGGATTGGGCTGCCCCTATCAAGATGTTAAACACACCAGATGATCATAGACCTCTTGTATCATGACAGGGTATTTGTGTGAGGAGGAAGAAAACCACATCAACTGCCTTTAGCTCCTTGGTGGAAAGATGCAGTAGGCTATGAATTTAGCTAATAAATAGGCAGGATGGTTGACACAATGTTTTCTTAAAAGCTTTTCAGACTCAGAAGCCCTACATATATGCTAAACAGTGATTTTCTGTTATGGTGATAATACTTTCCAAGTTCTTGAACAGTCGTTCTATAGACCAGAAAGAGCAGGTGGATATTTGTGACTACGATTAAAGACTTTTATGGTTCTCTTTGGCAGGTGGAGGCACTGTCTTGTTTTGCGAAGGATATGTGCTGTTCTGTGTCACAGGGGGAAGGGGCCGTGTTTTTTTAATAAAAAAAAACAACAGTGGCTACAGCGCTGGAAATTGTACCGTGGCTGCATCACTTCTGCTTCTTTTTATCCTTAAGGATTGGGTACAACAGATCTGCCTTTGCCAGAAAAAGCAGCGTCTGAAAAGCAGTGGAAGAGAAAACAACTACAACAAACAAACAAAAAAAGAAAACAAAACAAAAAAATGAAGTGTGTTGCTTATATGCCACCTATAGCACTTAAAGCACTCGCTGGGCAGTTTGAAGTGTGTTGCTTACATGCCACCCATAGCATTTAAAGCACTCTCTGGGCAGTTTACAACTTAATTATTGAGCTACACAGTGTCCTCCCCAGCAAGCTGGGTACTCAATTTACGAGCTACACATTGTCCTCCCCAGCAATCTGGGTACTCAATTTACTGATCTTATAAGGATGGAAGGCTGAGTGAACCTCGAGCTGGCTACCTAGATTTGAATCTGGTTTGGCTGCAGTACTGCAGTTTAACCCCTGCACCATGAGGCTCAGAGAAGGAGGAAGAGGGTACTCGGGAGTGGGAGCGGGAGGGCATTGAAATGATAAGCAGGCAGAGGTTGGCGCAGATGGATTTTTAAAGACTCCTCTGGGTTTCTTGCACACAGCCTCACTTGTTTTGTCTTTGTGTCATTGACTTTTGAACCTTCTTTTCTACAGACCTTTGTGAACGACGTGCGGATTCCCGACCAGAAATACGTCACCCTAAAACTGAATGATGTGATCCGCTTTGGCTACGATATCCTTTTGGTGATGCTGTAGAGGCAAAATTGCATGTGGTTCTTATGTGGTGCTTTTTCTTTTTCAATTATATACAAAAATCTTCTCTTATTGCTTACCAAATTAAAAGCCCACGTATTAGCACTTTCAGCTGACCCTTCTTGTATGGGATGCAATCCAACCCGGCGGTTCACTTGTATGATCTTTGGTGAAATGTTCAGTTTCCGTGTTCTGTTGCAGTTGCTGTTTTGATAGCCCGGCAGCTGGTTGTAGCATTGAATTGAGTGACCCACGTTCAGCCATGAACCCACAAAAGTGACTGTGGATTGGCCGTTACTTCTCAGCCTTTGAAACACACTACTTAGAGGCCACATTATTTTGTGTTCTGCAGATGGTATATTGCTGTATGCAGCTCTGGAGACATGTCTTGCAAGCTGTTCTGTGAGCACAGTACAGTGGTGCCTCGCTTAGCGATGTTAATCCATGCAGCAAAAATTGCTGCTAAGCGAATTCATCACTAAGCAATATTATAAAGCCCATAGAAACACATTAAAACCTGTTTAATGTGTTCCTATGGGCTAAAAACTGACCTTAAAGCGAAGATCTTCCATACGGTGGCCATTTCCACTGCCTCTTAAGTGAGGAATCCGTGCAAAAACACAGCAGGTGGCCATTTTGTTTACCCGGCGGCCATTTTGGAACCACCGATCAGCTGGCCGAAAATGGAGGCTTTGCGATGATCGCAGGGAAGCGATCATCGCAAAGTGGATTTTCCCCATAGGGAACATCGCAGAGCGTCGCAAAATGATTTCTTCATTAAACGGAGCGATCGCTATGCGAGGCACCACTGTATGTGGTCTGAGTTATTTCACAGCTAGAAAGAGAACAGAGGGTGAGGAGAAATTGAACATTTCCTGGCATTTTAATAGCCATTCGAAGGCAACTTGTGTGATTACTGGTGATTGTTGTTGTGCAAACCTCATGTTTGTTTTTCCCCACAACCCCCCTCGACATGCTGTCACCCCAGTCCTCATTCCCTTTTTCTAGTCTTCTCTTCTGGCTTCCTTTCATGTATTTGCCATGGTTGCTGGATGGAATCAGGTGGAACTTGGAAGAAAATTATTCAGCACATGTTACATTGGTTCCCAGAGAGTGCTGGGGGTGTTCAGCTGTTGATCTGTACAATAAAACTTTGCGTGTGAGAACAGTTTGCTGTCTGATAGAGATGGGGAAAAGCTGGTTTTTTTGGGGGATTATAACTCCCAGATGCTTCAGCCCATCTGATTTCTGGCTATGTCGTGGGGGATGGCGTTGTAGGTGTTGCAGTCCAAAAAACCCAACTTTTCCCCAAGCACTGGTCTTTGTTGTGTGTCTGACACACACAATCCCCCTTTCTCTTCCTACCATCCATTCCATTGACCTTCTCTTATTAAACTGCTGTGGTGTAAAAAATCAGGTTGGGGTAAAATTCCCCTCCTGGTTAATAAGGCATTGTGTTTTTTATTTTTAAAAGCCTTTTCTTTCTGAGTGATGTCACGATCTGTATCTAATCACTTCCGGTGTCTCTTGTCTTTTCTCCTCTTGTTTTTTAACCTCTCTGAACATGCCACCACTGTGCTTTTACAGTGCACAGACAGTCATTTATTGTCATTTTGTTCTTTATTGGCAAGACGCCTTGGGATCTGCCAGCCTGTCTGTTTTTGTCTTAAGCAGATTACAGTGCGGTTGACATTTCAGTAGATCTTGGCAGCAGACATGGGGCTCTTGAGAAATCCTCGTCTGTGTTGAGGTCACTGGGATGGGATGAGGGAAGAGGGAGACGACAGAGAATCTTTTTGCTGAAATGAAGTAACCGGAAGCGCAAACTTAATGTCGTAATTCCTGCAACCTGGTGAAATATGCCTTCCCTCCCTCTCCACAGCCTGCTGATCTTTATTTATTTATTGGGCCGTCCTGCCTCTTTCCTTTTTTAGTCAGCTGTTTTGAGCTCATGCCATCTTTCATTTCGCCTGAGTCAGCAGTGTTCTCTTGCAGAAGACTGTGCATCTGCTCACCACGACACGAAACGAGCGGATTTCTCCAGCAATGCTAAAATGTTGTGCCGTCGTCCTTGATCTGTTTAATGTTACATTTGCCTTCCTTTCTGGCATTCTTGGGTGCTCTCAAATATTCGCTCCCCCACCTTTCTCATCCCATTTTTGTTGGCGACCTGCAAGTCGCTCATTCAGTGCAACTGTAAATGTGGCTGATGTAACACTTTCTCCTTTAGAGTTGTGGCTTTCCCTGCCCTGGGAGCTTTGCGTGGGATTATGTCTCATGCTGTGTAGTTGTTGCTGGCAGTGCAAACCCAGCTCAGAGTTTCTGGGTTTGCACTGCCAGCAACAAATAGATAGAATTCTAGACTGCAGCTGTAGCAACAAATACACAGAATTCTGGACTACATCTCTCAGAATCCCCTCTCCAGCATTGCCAGTGGCCATGATTGCTCAAGAATTCTGGGCATTGTAGTCCAAAAAGGGAACTTCCCCAAGCTCTCTGACTGCCAAGTGCAATACATTTCACACCATTCTTGAAATCCTGTAGTAACTTAAAAAGTAGAATAAATTAATCAATGGGGATTTGGTGAATCAATTCCTCCATATGTTCCACTGATTCAATAGGGCTATTCTAATTGTAACACTACAGGACTTCAGCCGGTGTAACTTTATTTTTCTGTCTACTTGCTTCTGGAAATTCCAATCTTCTGTCAAATGATCTGTGTGATTTCTGGGCCCTGGGACTGGGTTCAGAGATCTGAGCTTTCAGTAGCTGGATTTTCTAGCCCACCCCCCCCGCCCCGCACTGTGAGCCCTTATTGGCCATTGTGCTTGCTATTGATGAATGGGGAAAACCTATTCAGTACTGCATTCTATTGTATTTTCCCAAACAACAACACCTCTGCAACACCCTGTGGGTGTTGTCTTCTACCTGCCTAGAAGTGGAACAACTTCAGCCAAAGTCTGAGTCTAGTGGAGAAATCCTTTGTTCAAGCGGTCTTGGAATGGGTGGTTTAGCACTAGAGTCCTGCAGTGTCTGGGCAAGGCACGCCAATATTGATCCCAGACTGTGTGCCCTGAGTAGTTTAAAAACCAGCAACAAAGGAAATCACGTGACAGACAAAAGGGGAGAAAAAAAAGCACAGTTATCAGTTTTCGCAGTTCATGAATTATTGATCACTACAAGCTATGTTCTTCTAGTGCATTTCTTTAATGGCATGTTGTGATGGAAATTTTGCACCAGGTAAATAATCATTCTGTTGCATGGGGCTACTTTAAAAAAATAGGCCCCTCTTATTCTGATTATCATTTAAGATAAATGTACATTTATCTTAAATGATAAATGTACATTTGAAATCCATCCCTCACCCCAATGTGGAGCCAGATGGCATGCAAAGATCATGTGGATATTGTAAGCCTGAAAAATCAACTTTTTGAGAAAAAAATATTTTTTTCTCCACACATGTGTATTTTTGTCCTCTAAACTAGGCATTTTAATGCATTTTCCCCATTGACTAAAGTATATTTGTAAAAGTAAGTATAACTTTTTCAGATACAGTATATGCATCTTGGATCTTAGCCATTCGTCAAATATGTTCATGGCATTGCGTGCATTTTTTTTTACTTGCAACAAAATGCAATGGCAGCTTTGGAAATGTACACATTTTGGAGGTGATATTGGGTTGGTTGTCAGTTTTGAGAGGTGTGATATTGATACTTTAATAGGGAAATGTGAAGACAACACATTTCCTTTTCCAACCTTGTGCTGTAGGGATGGTATTAAGTACTTTAGAAGTACTTTAGTTACTGGTGACTTCTGCTGACTGATCCCCTTAGCACATGCTGTAAGGTGACAGCAGAACACCTGAGTGTGTTTTATTGTGTATGCAAACATCTGTGGGGAAGACAAGTACACCTTGTAGCCTTAGATCAGGGTGAACAACTTCCAGAGATCTGAGGTCCACCACCTATGGTCACATCCAGACTTTGGACAACCTTCTCCATCCCCAGCAACCCCATTTTTTAACTTCACATCCTTTCCTCACATCCTTAGGGCACAGTGGAGGGAGGGGGCATTTCCAATGTGTTGACCTCACATGGAAATGCCTTTTGTTCAAGATCGAAGTGTTTTGGTCACTTCTGATTTTTTTTTGGGCGGGTGGAAGATCCTCCTGGTCCGAAAACCAGGACCATAACAAGATTTCCTCCTCGTGTTTCTTACAAGGTACAAGGAACCTTTTAAAAAAGCAAACAAATTTAAAATTGGTGGTGTTGTGGAGTGTGTGTCCCGGAGAATGATAAAGGCCACATAGGCTCATACTCCAAAATTTGGCCTCCCCATCTCACTTCCTGCCTTTTACTATCATATAAATTCCAGAAAACTGAAGTGTTTTCCATTAGACGAATACCTGATGTCACAAGGACTTGTCCTCTATTAATGCAGGAATTCAAATGTTCTTCCTGGTAACAGAAGTTGAGCTTAATCTAATTGCATCTGGAGGGATTGGTGTAAATGATGGGGTTGATGGCAGACATGAATGATGTGATCAAACATTAACTTTCTCTTTCTCATGTGGGTCTTAGCCATGCATTCCTTTCCAGTTGAGCACTTGAGGGTTTAGAAGTGGCTAGTGCTGGCTGCTCCTTTGTGACACATTTTTAAAAGATGCCTCCATTTTATTATTGCTGCAGTTCTCTTCCTCCCCCTCCTTCCTCCTCCAAAAATACCAGGCACAGTGAATCAAAATTATAAAAACATTGACTGGTACTAGATAACAGATACAGATTTGAACCAAAAAAAAGTGTGTTTGTTAAATATCAACATAGTGTGTGTGTGTGTACACACACACACACTATGTTGATATTTAACAAACACACTTTTTTTGGTTCAAATCTGTATCTGTTATCTAGTACCAGTCAATGTTTTTATAATTTTGATTCACAAGATGGGTTTTTATACACACACACAGTGGTGCCTCGCTTAGCAATCGCTCAGTTTAGCGACGAAATCGCTTAACGATGCTGTTTTTGCGATCGCAAAAGCGATGGCTTTGCGATGTTCTCTATGAGGTATTTTCGCTTTGCGATGATCACAGGGAATATATAACTTGCCAGCCTCCAAAAACCCATCTTTTGGGATTTCTAGATCCAAACTGATAGACATCTGGATGAAATAACACACCAGACAGACATAGTAGTAATAGAAGAAACATCTGGATAATTCACATGGCAATTCCAGTGGATGCCAGAGTTGAAAATAAAGAACTGGAAAAACTAACAAACTTTGGCAATCGAAGTATCTCACCTCTGGAAGAAACACACTTCAGTGGTCCCCACAGTCATTGGGGCTTTGGGAACAATATCAAGAAATTTGACACAGTACTATATGCAGTCACAAATCTCAAAAGTCACACCATCAGAGCTGCCAAAAAAGGCAATATTAGAAATGGCATACATACTGCACCAATATTTAAGAGATACTTAGGTTTTGGTTAAAATTTGTATCTGTTCTATAATACCAGTTAGTGTTTTTATAATTTGGATTCACTGTGCCTGGTGTTTTTTTAATAATCATCATAACTGGTAAGTTCTTTGCTTTAAATACTGTAGTATTTAAACAGTATCAAGTACCCAGTGTGGTGCAGGGGATATAATAATGGACTAGGATGGAGGAGGCCTGGGTTCAGTTCCCCCACCCCAGTGTGAAGCCACAGAAGCTCACAGGGGTACGTGTGTAGAACTGGTCAAGGTTAAATACCCCACTTTCCTTGAGACCTCTATTAATAATAACAATCATTGTGTGCCATCAAGAGAGTTCTGAGTTATGCTGACCCTTTTCAGTGTTTTCTAGGTAGAGAATATTCAGAAATGGTTTCCCATTCCCTTCCACTAGGGGGCAGCCTTGGGACTGTGCAGCTTGCCCAAGGCCACCTAGGCTGGCTGTTCTTCCAGGAGGCACAGAATTGAACTCTGGCTCCGCAGCCAGATACCCAAACCATTGAGACTTGACGGCACATAACAATAATTTAAACAATGTGTATTAATTAATATTTCCATATTAGACAATGCAATATCAACATATGTTACCATTTTAAAGCATGATTATAAAGAAAGCTTTGTCCCTATTTCAGAATAGTCTGATGAGTCTGTTCTTTGAGATGTGAGTATTTTTTTTTTTTTGCAGGAGTCAGGTTTCTGTGAGCTTCTGTGAACACACAGTGTTTGTGTCTCCTAAATTGGCTTATTTCCTTAATGTTTTCTCTACATGCTAATATGTATGTATTAGAACATATTCAGCACAAAGTCCCAGAAGAAGCACTAAAGGTAAGCATTTGCATTCCTTTTTATGTAGAAAATGTGAACATATGGTAAAGTGTTTTAAAACATTAATAGTCAGCTGGTGGGGCTCTATCTGGACCGGATGTTGGAAAAGTTACCTTTTGAACTATAATCCCCATGATTCCTTGTCCAGCCTGACTACCAGTGTGGCTGGAGAATTCTTGGAGTTTTTCAAGTTCTTTACAGTTCAACTGGTGGCACACCATCAGTCTCTTGTTTATTATTGTATAACTTTAAAACACACAAAAGTGCCCCCAAATCCAACTAGCCCATGTTATATAACCAAGTATTGAATGCAGATGCATTCAGATCTGCACCTCACTGGGAGGTTTTGGCCTAGTCCACTATTTCTTGATACCAGCCTACCTCGTATGGTTGTTGTGAATCTAAAATGCTTCTCTGAGCTTATTGTAGTGGCAGGCAGGTTCAGATGAGGAAATAAAGGCACTCTGTGTCCAACATCTTGCTGCTCCAGAGCATTGGCTTTTGGGGTCTGAAGGCAGAATCCCCAAGTGACTTCAATTTAGTGTCTTGAAGGGTCTTCTCATGCTCCCAGTCCTCATGAATGTCACATGTATTCAGCTCAGTGCATCCAGAGCTTCTCTAGCCTAAGCCAAGGCTGTGCAATAAACAGAAATACACCTCTGCACTGCCACTCCCTTATGTTCGAGGAAAGGTTTCCCATGAGAAATTTCCAGTGTATTATGCTGAATCAATCTTGGATTAGAGTTAATCACCTTGGCAGTTCTTCCCTTTTGTGAAAGCTGTTACTTGAGTGATTGTGCCTCCACCTGTCCCTTAGGATGCCATGCCTTCATGGGTTCATGCTTTTTTTGTCTGTAGTCTTGAGTGCTAGAAACTTTACTTATTAAAGGAACAACAAATCCACTGAAAATTCGGAGACCCGTGGATCAAGCAAAGCTGAGATGGAAACTACAAGCCCCCTTGCAGTTTGCTAACTCTGGTGACATAATATAAGGAAAATTGCATCTTTTGTTAGACAGCTGTTCTTGCTAGTTAAAACATTATTAGCATTGTTGGTGGGTAGCACATATACAGTATATCACTTTTCCACCGAGAGGTTCAAGATGGGATACATATCTCTCTTCTTCTCTACTTTATCTACATAACTGAATGAGGCATATAAACTGGAAGCCTGAAATACGATGTCTCCAGGTCATGTCGAGAGCGCCCACGGATTGTGAAGGCTCTCTTTCAATATGTTGACCTGCCACCTTCTGCATTTTGGACGGTGGATTATGGAGGTGGATGGAATGGGACTTTGGCAGGCACCTCCTCCTATGAACTTTCTCTGTAAAACCAGAATAAGACTAGTCTCCCTTGTTTCCTGCCTTCTTACATTTTCCCTTTTGTGCATATATAAACACCTGCCGACTCTTCCCTGAGCAAATGAGGAAGCTGGCCTTTCTTATTGTAAAGCTTGTGTACTGTGTACATCTCCCTGGGATGGGGGTGAGGAAGGGAAACGAATGTCCTCTTTCAGCTTTAGAAACACCTGGAAAACAGGTATGGATGTAGAGAACATGAAGCACTTGCCCAGCCTGTTTTTGTTTTTTGTTTTTTTGGGTTCTGCCTCTCCTTAAAAGCTGTAGTTTCAGAGCTTGAGTAGAGAAAAAACATGGAAGTTCTTTTATCAAAGTCCTTCTGCATTTTTAGTTTTTTTTTCTTTTTTAAAAGAGCAGATGTGGGCGAGGTGAAGAATAATGGTTGGAATTGTGGCATTGAAAGGAGAGGATATTTGACCCATAATTGCCTGCATCATTTTCCTGCTCTAACCCTCCCTTCCTTTTGAACTGATAAAAAAACAGGACAAACAGCAATTCCATGTGTCATTTAGATCTAGGACTGAAGACTACACCTCCCATTAGCCTTGGTCAGCAGAACCAATAACGAGGGTAATGGAATTGAAGTCCAGTAGCATCTGGAAGTCAGTTCTGTTCCTCTTTGTTGATCTAGACCAGTGGTTCTTAACCTTTTTGAAAGAAACGGCCCCTTGAGCCATTGAGGAAGTTATCATCGTCCGCCTCTCCGCGATGATGGTATCTTTTATTTATTTATTTATTTATTTATTTATTTATTTATTTATTAGACGAAAAAAGAAATATAAAAAGGGCATAAAAACAAATGCAGGAACTAAAAATTTCAAGACAAAAAGTCTGAAACTAAATTAAAATCGGAGGAAAATATATATTCATGCACACTGTAAAAAGGCTGCGGCCATCTTCACAGGTTTGGCTTACTCCAGTGCCCCCCTACAGTCCCACTTCTGTTCCAGCGCCCCCACGCTGCCCCTTTTCATTCTACCGCCCCCCTGAAAAATGAAATCGCCCCCTGGGGGGCATTATTGCCCACGTTAAGAACCACTGATCTAGACTGATGAATTACTTCCCTGTTCTTTGCTATTTTGAGCTTCTGTTGGATCTGCTGCTTGGCCTGCCCAGGCTTAGTACACAGTACAGTGGTACCCCGCATAGCGATGTTAATCCGTTCCAGGTTCTATCCAGATTCGTCGCTATGCGCGGGGGGAACCCATAGGAACGCATTAATGTGTTCCTATTGGGGAAAAACTCACCGGTAAGCGAAGATTCCCCCATCCGGCTGCCATTTTCTCTGCCTGGTAAGTGAGGGCAGGGCGCGAAAACGCTGTGGGCGGCCATTTTCTGCACCCGGCGGCCATTTTGGAACCACCGATCAGCTGTTTTCTAAACATTGCAATGCGAAGATCGGTAAGCGAAACGCTTACCGATCATCGCAATGCGATGTTTAGCCTATCTAAACATCGCAATGCGATTGCATTAGCAATTGCATTGCTATGCGGATTCGTCGTTAAACAGTGCGCTCGTTAAGCGAGGCACCACTGTATAATTCTTGTCTCTTTTTTTCCTTCAGCATGAGAAATACACCAGTCAGCTTCAAATGAGCTTTAAAGGCACAGCAATTAAAAGGGCCGAGCAACCCATGGAACATGGTGGAGACAGTGAATCGCCCCAGGCCAAGCTGGAGAAAGGCGAGAAAAAAACAATTACAGGTACTAGTGGAGAAAAACCAGTTATTCAAGGTTTGAAACAAACCCTTTTCTTCTATTTGAGTTTACCTTGGATTTTTAGGACTCAGAGCTGCAACAGTTTGGGCCGCAACTTTTAAGCACTGTCGCCAAGGCAGTGATGGGACAGTGAGGCAGACTTGAGCTCCATACATGCCCACCTCTATACCTTGTAGAGCCACCTCTGCTTCCATATCCCCCACTCCAAAAAACACGTTTCTTAAAAATATATTCTTTTACTGAAAAAAAAGCAATTGCACCCTCTAGCGGCAATATTTTAAAAAATGTAAACTCCATTGGGGCTGTTGGGAAATGATGAGCATGCCAGCAAAATTGCCCTTCATGCTTTTAAGTTTGCATGCTTTTGTGGGAGCTGCTGGGGAGTCAAGTGTGTTTGAAATACTAGTGGGCCTGCATTCAGTAGTTAGAGAACTACTGGTTTAGGTATCTGACTGAAGAGCCAGAGGTTGGGAGTTCAATTCCCCACTATGCCTCCTTGACAGAGGTTGGATTCAGTGATCCATAAGGTTGTTTCCAGCTCTGCCATTCTGATGACAATGATGATTATTTGGACTCCTCGGCCAGATTTTAGCCCTCCACTGCAATAAAATGTGAATTCTTCTCATTGAAGGTGTTTAAGTTCGTATTTTATGCTGCGCCAGAACGTGGGTCTAGATTGAATAGACCAACATTGGAGAAGGGCAGTTTTTGGCTGAACATTAGAATCCGTTTGACAGCAAGAACACTTTAACAATGGAAGTGCTTATTTCTTTGTTTGTGTGTTTTGTTTATTTATTTCATTCATTTCTTATCCCTCTTTTCTTTCCTAGTGGGGACCAGAGGTTGTGTACAAAAATATTTAATATCCACAACTAATTAAAAAAATACCAGTTAAAATTTGAAATGGTCATATGCAAATATTGAAAATCACATTTGAAAATCTCTTCCCATCTCTAAAGGGGAGAGTCAAGAGGCGGCTGAGGTGGGAAGATACTTTCAAATTTGAGGTTCAATTTTTGTATATTATAGTTGCAGATTTTAACTGGTATTTTTTAATTAGTTGCAGAGATAAGTTTTCAGTGGCCGGTGGAAAGGAAAAGAGGGAAGGGGTCAGTTGCACCTCCTGAGGGAGGGAGTTTTGTAATCTGGGAGCAGCCACGGAAAAAGCCCTCTTTTGGAGTCTTTACCAGACATATTTGTGAAAGGGGTAGGGCCAAAAAAAGGCACCGCCCGTAGAGCAGTGGTCCCCAACCTTTTTGACACCGTGGACCAGTTTCACCTGCTTGCGGGGAGTTACGTCTCTCTCTCTCTCTCTCTCTCTCTCTGTGTATGCTTGAGTACGTCTGTGCACGCGTGGGGGCGAGTGTGCGTGGGGGCATCAGTGCATGCATGTGAGTTTGTGTGTATGTCCTTGTGTGCATGGGGGCGTGTGTGCATCCGTGCATGCAGGAGTGTGTGTGCGTGCATGTGTGTGTGTGCATGCATCTGTGCCTGGGGTGTGCGCATGTATCCATCTGTGAAGGCCGTGTGTTTGCATGCATGGGGAGGCATTCATGCATCTGTGCATGCGCAGGGGCAGGAGATCTGTCTCCATGGCCCGATCTTACCAAGGCCATGGATCAGGACCGGTCCACAGACCAGGGGTTGGGGACCCCCTGCTCTAGAGGATCTTAATACATGTGGAGTGGATTCCCTGTCGTTGTTAGTCTTCTGGTAGAAGTTGGGAGAGTCTTTTGTTCGGGATGATCTACCTCATCATTTTTTTGTATGGGATAGGAAGTTGGTCCAGATGCCCTGGAAGATTTTTTTCCCCCAGCTCTGTGATTCTGTTATCACCGGAAGGGCATTGCCTCACTCCAGTTCCAACTGGTTGGTGCTGGGGTGTCTTGAAAGGAAATCACTTTTAACGGTCAAAATGTAACTGAATACAGAACATGGATGGGGAAGAGGCCTGTAGTCCTCAATAAGGAAGACACAGATATTTGCTGATTCGACGCCAATACATGCCCTTGAAAACAATACACAGCCCCTTTCACAAAAAAAAGACCAGTGTCATTTTTCAGCAGCTGCAGTATTAGTGAAATTTAGGGAGTTTCCAAAAACCTTTGCAGTTTACAGTAAATATTAAGTCTTCTGCACACAATAGACTTTATTTGCATGAAAATAAAACCACTTATGTGAATTTATTTTGCAAAAAAAGTGCCAAAATGCTAAAAGGGCACAAAAACGTTTATATTTTCTCAGCGAGGATACGTTTTGTCTCCAAACATGAGCATGCTTACATGATACCCAACACCAACAAAATCAATAGGACTTATATTAGAGGAAACATTTAGAATGGGCATATTATATTTATTGTTTATTTAAAATGTAAAACTAACACAAAATGAACTAAAGCTGCACCCCAAAATGTGCTCTATTGCTTTTCTGCTCTCTAATCACACCCCACCTTTGTCTTTCCACTGGCGATCCGCTGGCCTCTTTCATGACCAAGATGTTCATGTGATTTTCTGATTCTCTCTGTGTTTGGGGGTGTGAATTTATGAATGACACAAGGAAGTTACAGGCGAGATGGGTTTTTCTGGTGTTTTCCCCGACCTGTCTTTCTTTTCTTTTAAAAGGACATTGGTTTGTGTGATTCATAGTGGTGGGAAATGCAGACTCCGAGGGTGTTTACTGTCATGTTGAAATTATGGCAAAGTTGAATTGCAGGTTGTCCTCCTTGAGTGTTAATCAGCACAACTTTTGTGAAGCTTTGAGTAGCAAATTTATCCTTATAGCTGCTCTGTACCATTTTTCTTTGAAAATTAAGACATGGAAAGAAACCATGCAAAAGTTAATAGAGTTTGATGAGGGGGTTAGCTGGAGAATTTTATTCGGGTTAAAAGAAACGAACGGAAGAACCCCAGTACTTTTTTTTTGAGGACTAGCTATGACTCAGAGAAGGTTGCATAAACTTCTGAGTTACACAGAACTTTTGTTAGGCTGGATATATAAACAAAATAATTCTGCTGAGAGCTGTTTGTTAGAAGTTCAGCTTCATGTTATTTTATTGTCATGTTGTACTTGTATATTGCTTTTACCACTTTTATGTGACATTTTTGTAATTTTATGCAGGGATACTTTTAAGAGTAAATAAAAGATATAAATAAAAAAAACAGTAAATGCACCATATTTATTTTATTTATTTGCTCCATTTTTACCCCGCCCATCTAGATTCGGGAATCTCCTCTGGGCGGTTTATAAAGATAAAAACAGCATTAAAATTAGATTAGGCATCCTTTAGTCTCGAGAGACTAGGGTAAGGTGCTCTGAATAGAGGTCTTGGAACAGTGTCTAGTGTGGCTGAGGAGGCCAATTCGAGAGTGACCATCCCTTCCACACTGAAGACAAATCCAATCTGTCCCCTGTCCAGCTCCCTGATTTTGCTGAGTTTGGGACTGCCTCTTGGCTTCGGCCTGCTGGACATGTTCAGCATTGGTCGGCATTAAAATAACTTTGATCATAAGAGCAGAAAGATCAATAAAGAAAACAGGATCCAAGATGGGATAAAAAAGCTATGTAATGGGAGGGGGGAAGGCCTGCCGAAAGATCCAACTCTTCAACTTGTTTTTTGTTTGTTTGTTTGTTTTAAATAGAACTTTAAACAATAGAGCTCTAAGGTGTGTGGCTGGATAAACCTCTATGAAACAAGGTGCAGAATCTGTGTTTTTAGGTTTTCACCCTCTCTCTTTCACATTTCCCTTCAGTTTCAGAGATGAGAAGTTCTGCCTATGAGCATTATTTATATCGTTTCAAAGGCCTGAGTAGGGCTATTTCACAGTACTGTACATTGAAATTATTTATTTATTTATTTATTTGATCATGAGCCTTATATATATATATCGTTTCAAAGGTCTGAGTAGGGCTGTTTGACAGTACATTGAAATTAGTTAACTATTTCAGTTAACCCACAGACTTAATGTTCATATGGAAGGAAGGAAGACTGAGGCTTTCCCCCCTATCCTCCAATAACTGTATATATCCTGGAATGTCTCGTGGTGCAGTGGTTAAAACGCTGTACTGCAGCTAAAAACTGTGCTCGTTAACCCACAGACTTAATGTTCATGTGGAAGGAAGGAAGACTGAGGCTTTTCCCCCCTACCTTCCAATAACTGTATATATCCTGGAATGTCTTCAAAATCATGCTTAGATGTGCAGAGCAATCCTCCCAAAACCACTTCATTCCAGATGTTGCTGGACTACAGCTCCCATCACCTCTTTTGGCCTGATGGGCCTTGTAGTCCAGAACATTTGGAAGCCCAAAACCACTTCATTTGAGATGTTGCTGGAGTACAGCTCCCATCACCTCTTTGGGCCTGATGGGCCTTGTAGTCCAGAACATTTGGAAGGTTCTGGTTCCGAATGAAGATGATCCTCAAAAAGTGTGGGACGGGGTTGGCTGAAGCTGAGGGAAGTGCTCGGCATTTTCTTCTCCCCACCCCCAGCTCAACAGTGTAATGTGAGCATTGCTTTGTAGACCTGCTGTTTCCCCTGAGAGTGTTGTGGGTTCGGAGAGGACTTAGAACCTGCCTCAGTTATGAAGGGAAAACAGAAGCCATAGTGAGGCTCGGCCCAGTTAACTGTGATTCTCGTGACCTTAATCCTCCATGCTGAGCATAGTCCCTGCAAAAATCCCCTCTAAGCTGGGATCCGGCATTAGAGCCATCCTTTCCCTGTTCGTTCTTTTCTCAAGCCGGGAGAAGGAGAAGAGAGAGTTCCTGGGTATGCTTGCATTTCTTTTTCATTTTTTCCCCCTGTGCTCAGTTCAGAAGACTTCTCTTTCTCCATGAGCTGCACATGTGCGCCGGGCAACTGTTCCTGCGCCGACAGACATGACAGGTACCATGCTGTATCACCAGGAGCATGCCAGACGCATTTGGTGGGCGCCTTTTCCCCATGATTAGCCGCGACAGCCGAAGAGGGTGAAAGGAGGTTACTCTTTA